AAAAGGAAAACATATCAATAAGAGTAAGAAGACTGAAGATTCATTAATCTGTTCAATACACACTGAGCGGTCAGTCGAGCATCCGGGTCACAGTCCCAACAATCTGTCAGGAGCTCCTGCAGCACAAATCCCTGAAAGTTGTGAGATTTCTTTTTAATATATTGACAAACTAAATCAACTATCTGAAACATTTGATCAGCTATATCAGTTCATGTATCTTTGCAAATACAGAAAACAGCATTTTCTGTGAGAATACCTGTGGTAGCAGTCCCCAGTCTTTAGGTATGGAGGGTCTTTTCTCCATGTGAAACACATACTGGATGAGGCTCTCCAGGTTTACATCGGCTCCCAGCTCTAATTCATAAGGCAACAGATGCTGTGGAGCAACACCGCCTGCAGATGGAGACATTTGCATGCATTTTAACATCCGCTTAGTCTCATGACATGACGTGTATCCAAGCAGTGCACAGTGATACTGTACAGCTCATTCAGCAAAAAACTACAACGGAAAGTGAAAGCAGACATTTGCAGTATTATAAACATTTAAGTTCATATTTTTTTATATTTTAACGTGTGGCGTTCTTAAATAAACAAATATGCATGTTGTTGGTTTGATAGAAAGAATTAGCTTTGGTGTATTAGTGCATAACACAAACATATAAGAGAAAATAAATTGTAAAGTAAAGAAAGTCAGAATTATCAACAAAGAATATAAGACTACCAACATAACAAATACAATAGAAATGATGTGCAAGATATCAGAATTAAAATTAAAAAGGCGTTTTCAAAACAATCACAACTAAAATATACTACGCAGTAGACAATACATCTTGAATCTAAATGAAGTACAGCGTTTCTGTAGATTACAATAGGGCTGTTAAGAGTGTACAGATCTAGAAGCCCATCACATTTACTGATGGCTTTGCATGATCTGATCTAAGGAGTTTTTACCTTCAAATAAATCAGAGCAACTCATCAAGATCTCCCACAGCAGCAGGGCCAGAGCGTAGATGTCTCCCTGCAGTAGACACCAGCCGTTTCTGAGGTTCACAGAGCCTTCCAGGATCTCAGGGGGCATGTAGCGCAACGTGCCCAACTGAGCATGGGCCTGCAGATGGAGAGTCATGGGAATTAGTTGTTTCTAATGTAATAGGTTTTCCCCTCTGCATATCTTCATTTATTTTAGTAGGGATTCTAATGAACGGAAAAGCCAACCTACTGTATTGCATATAATTTACTGTTTACTCCTATTATGGTTTCACTGTGCCGTAACCTAACAATAATAAGTTGTGGCTCCACCAGGGTCTCACCTCCATGTTTGTCGCATGGAACCTGTGATGTCCTGAACAAAATCTCAGGATGGTTGAGCATCCAAAATCACACAAGACACAGGTACCATCTGCTCTTACAAGCACGTTGGAGCTGCTGAAGTCTCTGTGGGCCACAGGGGGTTTATGCACATCTGTAAGAAAAGACACACATGTGCTACAATAAGAATGTTCTAATTGTTTGTTTATTTGACTATAGTAGATTTAATAGATCCAGAAAGACTTCATTCATTAAGCTTGTTTAACTGTGGAGCCTGCTTCGTCTTTATATTGATGTGAGCTGTTTTAAAACTGCTGTGGGGATCTCAAATAGTTTTAAAATACTTAATTAAAATAATAGTACATTTAGTTATATAAAAACATTATAATCCAAATTATTAGTCATGTTTGATATTGAAGCAACAATGTGCATATAGACCCATACGATTGTACAGGCATGCTTTGTAAACCAGTAAGATAAAACACAGACTTGCCCACCACACACACACACACACATACACACACACAATTGTTCAAAATAATATTCTGGCCAATACCATGTATGTGAAGGTCAGAGTGGAGATAGGAAACTCCCTGCGATAAAGACTGGCACAGCTTCACTGACAACATCCAGTTGGTGGTGTGTTTACATAGATAGGAGTGGAGAGAGCCCTGAAATCAAAGGGACGTCAGTTATGAATGTCTAAGAATCTGAACATTAAAACGTTTAGTGTTCTGCCACATTTGTACAATAAAAATGAGTGTTTAAGAATATGGGGTGAAAAACTGTATGAAGATTAAAAAAAAGGTTATGTTGACTGATCTGGTGGAAAGCAGTTGGTTATTTACACATCCAGCTGTTACAAAGAAACATTTTTTTTTAAATTGTAATTTCTCTTACCTGATCACCTCTCTAGTTTGTTCACTTTTTTCTAAAAGTAGTTAAAGAGTCTCTAAAAGTGTCTGTTGGTTGGTTGGTGCTGAAGCTTACTGCCTACTTCTGCAGGACGGAAAGCTTATCAATACATAAGCTGAAACTCAGTAAAAAGCTCTGGAAAAGCTAAGGGGAGCTGCCAATTCAGGTGATACGTCTCAGTAGGTTCATCACTATGACCATTTTAAAATATTTAGTTTCCTATCAGAGTCAAACCCTCTTGCTTTGCTTTCTTGCCCTAACTCTTTTGTGTTTTCCTTCACCTTTGTCTCAGAATAACATTTGATCTCTCAGGAAATGGAATATCCCATTTAAAATTAAAATATAACCTACTTTCCACTCACATATTCAGCTAATTGCAGGACAATTAGCCAACTGCTTTCATATGGTGTCCTCCCAGAGCCCAGGAAGTTGACAATCCCAGCATGCTTCATCAGTGGTAGCTCATAGACTTCCTTCTCTGCAGTAAAGGTATGTTTCCATCCTTCAGTGAAAACTTTCACAGCAACCATGGATCCCTTGTATTTCCCCTCCCAGACAGTGGCAAAATGTCCACGGCCCACAATCTGAAAAGGTTTGAACATACGTCGAGATAAAACACTCCATTGAAAGATTTAGCAATATTTTACTCACTGCTAACCAAAACAGAATGAATCCCTATCTGGGCTTACCTGCTGTAGTTCAATGTCAGCAAAGTCAATCTCAGAGGTGTTTCTTGTTTGGCAGGAACACAGTCGTGAGACACTGTGAGCATCAGGGGAGGGTGGATTCTCCTCTAAAAAAAGAGGATGGGTATGGTTATCAAAAGAAACATTTTAAAGGCACAGGAATCTGATAACAAACAAAGGACAGAGGTAAGGGAGTGTTATTGAAGAGATAAACACCAAGGTCAGTCTTCCACAGAGAATGAAACAGTTACAAGGTCAAACAAAGACATCATGAGAACGGAGTCTGAGTTTAAAAGTGCGGAAACGTGTAATACTTCAAGAATGAGAGGGCATTTCACACAGCATTAACAGTATCGTCTTCCCTTTTTAATCTCCTCTTGTGTAAATGTGCATCCTATACAAACATCAACAGTTAATATACTTGAAATTCAATAGACTTATTGTATTTTAACTCAACATTTCTGCTTATATAAATCAAAGCAAAATTACACATGATTACAGTAGTAACAACAACAAAATACTTTTCCTATATCCTGTCAATAATAACTGTGACAAAACTAGCCCCTACAATAATGCATTCCTAAATCAGGTCAGTTTCATTTAATAACCATTTTTTACCTTTAAATTATACAGGGCGGTATCTTTTTTTTTTTTTATGTTGAAAACAAAAAGGATCTTACGTTTCTCTTTCAGTATCATAATTATGAGCCACAGGACTAGCAGAGTTCCAGTAAGAATAATCACAGCTGCTTTTTTTTTACCTGGGAAGAAAACAAAAGGTTTTTGTTATTGTTATCTGTGAATGATAAATTGCAATTCTTTCTGGACAATTGAGTGTTTTCATTACTTTACAAAAGAAGAAAGACTTTTAAAAAGGGAGTAAAAGGGGGGTTTTCACTGGACAAGACGTATGTGGAAATGCACAGACTATAAACAAATAGATAATGATACAATGTTCTGCTATAAAAAGAAAAGTACTATGTTGGTTGCAAGTGATAAGATATAGATAGTAATCTGATTCTGATCATACCCATAGAATAAGAGTAGGTGGGTGTGGGTAGAGGCTCTTCCGACTCTGAGGTCCAAGTGATGTTGCTGTTGCAGAGGTCTGTGTTGCACGCACATTTCATGAAGGCAACGTTGTCCAGTACTTGTACTGGTTGTGCTATGCAGGTGTCGTTTGGGCAAGACTTTTCAACAAAATCACAAGCTGCAAGAACAGAAAAATCAGTAACACCGTGGACCCGCATAGGAAACAAACTGAGAACCTGCAGTGTAACCAATTACATTATGCATAATATACATCACAGCATGATTTGTTAGAGGAAACACTAGAAATGTGTATGACTCTTCTAATGGTACAAAAATAATAATCTAGACCTGGCAGATTAATCCAGAGGTTCTTTTCATGATATTTCACTACAGTTTCTTACCGAGAATTTCAACCCGTGGCTGGTCATTGATGATCCGATAATAGCCCACGCAGCATTGGGTGCTCTCACAGACCTGGACCGACCCATTCACAAAACCCACAGTTTCAAATCTTTTGTCCACAGGAGTAATTTTGAATGCACACTGTCTCTTCTGAGGAGAAGATTGGCCGGTGATGCAAATAAAGATGCACTCTGGTAGGAGAATAAAAAAAAGACAGCGTTGTACTTGGGCAGAAATAACATTTGCTCTCTGGTTATCAACATTGTGTTCTAGCTGTGTCTAACTGTTGCACTCACACTGTGTCTTTCCGGCCAACAATGGTGTCTAAAGTGGTGTTTAAAATAAATATTTCAATACAATCTACAGCTTTATTATTCGAGTTTCTAAGACAGAACTTAATTGGTGATGGTTCTATTATACACTAAATATGATTTCTTGAAGCCGATATCACTTGAAATGTCATTACATTTATTAAATGTTTTTAACAAAGACAATCAACATCAGTTGCACTAATCAATTAGACTTGCTCACCCGTTTTGTGTAGTGAAATCATGTAAGATTTGCTTTTGGGTTAGTCAAAGAAACCTAAAAGTGCTTCGTATCAGAAGCCACAATATTCACAATGTTTTTGCAGCTATCACACTATTAGTGGCTGTGAATTATCTCAGTGTTCAGTTCTCATCAAGTGTTTCCTAATGCTTGCTAGGATAAACACTTTCCCAGAATGTTTTATCAGCACTGCAGTTAAAAGGGNTGCTCAGACACTGAGTTGTGTGTGTGTGAGTGTGTGTGTGTGTGTGTGGATGTCTGCGTGTGTGTGTGTGTATTCAGTGTCCTCATTAGTTCTGCCTGTTTACTAAAGTTGGCTTCTTGGGATGAAATGAACAGGCAGAACTAATGAGGACACTGAATACACACACACACACGCAGACATCCACACACACACACACACACTCACACACACACAACTCAGTGTCTGAGCATTTGGAGGCCCGAGGCCCCGGGGCCAGAGCAGCCCAGATACCTGATGGGAGCCGGGACATCAAAGCTGCAGGATTAGAGAGAGGAGAGAGGAGAGAGCGCCGCGGGGAGGAAATGCTAACTTATTATCCGCTTCCAAGCTAATCCTGTTATCTACAGAATATAGCTGTGTTTAACCCCCCTACACACCTCCCTCTGACAACACACACACACATGCGGTGTACACACACACAGAATTCAGTGTTCGGGGTTCGACAGCCTCCCCTGGTTCCTCTCTGAACCCCCAAAACCAGCTGGTTGAGTATCTTAGTTTGAGATAATGCAGATGAACTTGCACCATGTGTTCAAGTCCCAGTGCTTTCTTCAGATCCTTCTCTAGTTATGCCCATGACTGAAATCCTCTTCAGTTTTCCTGGGCGTTCAGGTGATGTAACGCAGCCTGGGGCAGACATATTGGAGGTCCACGGATCAGGGTCCCCCCGGGATGAGAGAGGCACCAAAGCTGAATATCATTTAGTTCCCCCAATCCATTTGATTTGTGCCCCTGCATTCACAAACCAGATTCAATACAGAATTGTCCTTTCAACTATAACTACGTGAGGGGATGTGTTTTGAAAAAAAAGTCATTGTTTACTCAGTTAAAATAACCCAAATACCACTAAGTACAACTTGCTTGCTTGCCAGCCATCACATAACAATGATACATATCACAAAGGTAATGTACATTCATGTATTACGATGTTATATTTGTTACATAACCTCCAAAGTCAATCATATGCTGTCATAAATTCCTGAACTGTTGTCAAACACACTAAAAAGTTTCATTCCTAAAGTTTAAGCTTTGTTTTCAACAATTAATAGTAAGACTAACATTACATGCAGACTTGTGTTTCTCATTAACTCACTTATTGGGTTGTTAGCAACCTTCTGCATGCCGAAATCAAGAATTTAAATAATATATAACTGACATTGTATCTCTGTAACCCATTGACTACAGATGAAAACTAGCTGTTAGCCACTTATTGTACGTCTGTGACATTACAAGTATTGTGCATTGTCTCTACTAAAATTGAACAATGAGAGAAAACTAACATTTCAGAGCTACCCTAAAGGTGTCCATTAAAGTGAAGTCAACTATGTTCAAGGTTCAAGGTTCAAGGTATTACTTTATTGTCAAACTAACATAGCTACAGAGTAATTATGTCGTTGAAAATCTTAGGTCACAGGCTTCTCCAACAATGCAACACAATAATACAGATAAGCAGACAATATTAAAACAATATTAAAATATACTATATTAAAAGTAATACAAAAAGAAAAATAGTTTTAAAAAAGTGGAATAGTGCAATACGAGTCTATATACAAGTTATTGGAATGATATATTAGATAATAGATAAAGAATTACTAAGTAGTAGCAGATGAATGTTATGAAATTCTTTCAGCAGTTCAGTTGTCAATGGTATGCTCATCTGCAGGTCAGATGTTAGCTGCTTACTTAACTACAACTACAACTAGCTATGTATTTGCTATTAACAGAGGCGAGCTTATGTAAGCATACAGAACATGTTGCTGGCAATGTTGCAGCCAGATATAAGAACCAACAATAATGCTCCTTTAGTAATGTTTTAAAATTCCCATTTAGAAACTTCTAAATTGATTACTTGATACTTTCAATCAGTGACTAGACAATTTGTTAGTTAATTGATACATGCATTAATCAAGGATGGGCTGCATAGATTTTTTTAAATGTATTTTAATTTACAAATAATGACATTTAATGGTTAAAATGCAGCTGTTTCACACCAGTCGGTGGCTTTGACACTAAACATCACATATGCTCTATACTGTCAGTATACGCTCCTGCTATACTCAGACGCCTCAGATCTTTGAGAAATGGCCAATACATTCATTATATTTCTGACAGCATGTAGGCAGCATATGGATCACTAATCCGCACTGATTAAGCTACAAAGTGCTTTGACAGATGATTAGCTGACAAATAAACACACTTTAGATTATGGAACTTGATGTAAGTAATAATGATATAACAACCTATTTCACACAACTGGTCTGCATGAACACATACGGTGTAACACTAATGGTCCTGCACATTCATTGGATTCAGGTACAAGAGTTTACTGCTAGGCATAATTAGCCGATTGTCCTCTCTGACCGTGAACACCTGTAAAATAAAGAGAGGAAGAAGAAAAGAGAGGTGGGGAGAAGTTGAAAGAGAGCATTCCTTGCAGATTTATTTGAATAGAAGTGGTAAAAAAGAATACGGAGCGCTATTGCATGTAGATGAAGTGAAATTGTCATTAGGCTAATCAGCACTAAACTAATTGGGAGTCATGGACCCTCCTATCTGCTAATTCTAACCCTAAACCCCGGCCCCTATCTGCAAGCAAATGGAGGAAGAGAGAGAGGAGGAAGACGAGTGGAGGGGAAGAGCTGAAAATGAGAGTGAGGTAAAGAGAGGAAGAGAGAGATGAAGCCTAATTAAGAGTGCTGGGATTTATGCAAATGAGACGGTGCTGATATGGTAATCAGAGCCTGCAGGGCCGTAACAGGCTGTGTGCTCCGTGGTGTGTGTGTGTGTGTGTGTGTGTGTGTGTGTGTGTGTGTGTGTGTGTGTGTGTGTGTGTGTGTGTGTGTGTGTGTATCTAAGAGGCTGACAGCTGGCTGTGAGGAAGGTCAGAGCCAATCAGACTCTTACTCTAATGCACACTGCCCTCTGGCCACTGTACCGTGTCTCTCTCTCACTGCTTCCCTCTGTCTCACTCTCTCTCTCTCTCTCTCACTCTCACTGCTTCCCTCTGTCTCTCTACCCCTCACTGTTATCCTAACCCTTTCCACTCTTTCTCTGTCTCTCCTTTTTCTTTACATTTCACTGGCTGTCTGTCATGATGCGTCCTGACACCGCACACAAACTCAAAGCTACACGCCGCAATTGTTTTCACACATTCTCTGACATTTTGACTTAAACACACACGTGTCACCTCCATCCCGCCTCAGTCTACATGATAAATATGCATGTGTGTGTACGGACGATGAAAGTTATTGGCTGCTGTGATTGTTCCTCTTGGCTATACTGAAATGATCCCTTCCTTTTGTGACCATGGTGTAGGACACGACAGACAAAACGCACAGCTGTAGCTCTCTGAAGAAATGCACTGTGAAGCCAATAAATACGAGCCTTCAGTCGTCTTAGAATATTAAGCTTTCATGATTTGATCGATTCTGAACACATTTGGAATTAGTTCAATTAAATTGCATTCAGCCTACACCTCATTAGCCGCGTTCACACCGCAGTACTTTTCCCAGTTTAGTTCCGATATAGTTCCGAAATGCCGCGTTCACACCAAAAAGAGCCGAAACTAAAATGAGTTCATGAGAACCTTTTTACCCCCTTTCCCGTACCTGCTAGAGAGCAGGGACTTTCGTGGGAGAAAAAGGTTCCTATTTCTGATTGGCTGGGCGGAATGCNAGATAGATAGATGAGTGATGGATAGATAGATAGTAATAGATAGATAGATAGATAGATAGATAGATAGATAGATAGATAGATAGATAGATAGATAGATAGATAGATAGATGGATAGATAGATACAGAGAGAGATAGAGAGATAGATAGATAGATAGATAGATATAGAGAGAGATACATAGATAGATAGATAGATAGATAGATAGAGAGAGAAATAGAGAGATAGATAGATAGAGAAAGATAGAGAGAGAGAGAAATAGAGAGATAAATAGATAGATAGATAGATAGATAGATGGATAGATAGATAGATGGATAGATAGATAGAGAGAGATACATACATACATACATAGATAGATAGATAGATAGATAGATAGATAGATAGATAGATAGATAGATGGATAGATAGAGAGAGAGATAGATAGATAGAGAGAGATAGATACATACATACACAGATAGATAGATAGATAGATAGATGGATAGAGAGAGAGAGAGATAGAGAGATAGATAGATAGATAGATAGATAGATAGATAGATAGATAGATGGATAGATAGATAGATAGATAGATAGATAGATAGAGAAAGATAGAGAGAGAGATAGATAGATAGAGAGAGAAATAGAGAGATAGATAGATACATACATAGATAGATCAATAGATAGATAGATAGATAGATGGATAGAGATAGATAGATAGATGGATAGATAGATAGAGATAGATAGAGAGAGAAAGAGATAGATAGATAGATGGATAGAGAGAGAGATGGATAGATAGATAGAGAGATAGAGAGAGAAAGAGATAGATAGATAGATAGATATATAGAGAGATAGATAGATAGATAGATAGATAGAGAGATAGATAGATAGATAGATAGATAGATAGATAGATAGATAGATAGATAGATAGATATATAGAGAGATAGATAAACACAGTAAGATAATTAGAAAATAAGCGAAAACATGACAAAACACTGACTCTAAAGTGGAGAGCCGGGGAGATTTGAAGACAGTAAGCGTTGAACAGAAATGTGCAAAAATATTCAGTTTGCCGGGAAGTTCAGGTTTCACGATATTAAAATGTACAAGATACTGTGAATCCTCTACATCCCTCTGAATATGTAACACATCTGTATCTATTTTAAAATCTTCACAGCTCTCCACTTTAACTTCTAGTACTTGTGATATCTTTACAGTATTTATCCCGAGCCGGTTTAATACCTAAATCATTTGTCAGTCGGCATACCCCCAGTTTTGCGAAACAGAAAAAGGTGCTTGATAAAAATGATAATCTTAATGATTCTTGTTGATTGTTCCTTTCCATTTTGCCTCTTGTATACATTGTTTTTTAAATGATTTATCCGTCTCTCTTCCTAATCTGCGCATCCAAAAATAATAACCTTCCTGTCATTTTCCGCATTAGCACTTGTTGCCACTCGCTATCTCCCTACTTGTCTCTCACTCTCGGCCCAATCACATGCAATAATCACACCCAGTTCCACATCCTCCCATCAGCTGTGTCACCGTGGCGACCTTGAGCAGCCGGCTGCTGATTGGCTTCTGTGTTGATGATTTGGAGGTCGCGAACCCCAGCACTTGGAATTAATGGACTTTGTCGCCCCGCTGCAGGGCCCCGACACACACACGCCCACATACACAGATGCCACGGCTATAATAGACGGTCAATGCGAGTCAGCGCCCTTACAAACCTAATTACGTGAACTAGCATTGGGTGTCAGCCGGGGAGTAGTGACTGTGACACACACACATAAACATGGAGTCTCAATCACAGCAGCATGAGGTCACACAGAACGAGAACCAGAGCATGTTCATGGAAACACAGGTGATGTTTAGTTGCTGCTGTAAATATCACATTCTCCAGAGAGCTGTAGAAACTAGGAAGGTGCACACACTGCCCTGTTTAGATAATACACACACACATACACAGGTACAGGTAACACATCCGCAGAAGTGTTTGGCCTTGTGTAAAATAACAAGCTGCAGGCATTTTGACATGGGAGCAACATGCAGGTCAAACCGCACATACAGTATAATGAACCCAACATACAGTAGGCAAATACAACCTGACAACAAGAAGCCCCTATTACCTCACAGATGCACACACACACACTCATAGAGGAGACTCCATTACAATCACAGACTGCAACCATTATTTCATTTCCCTGTTAGCCTTGAGTACACAAACAATTGTCGAGCTGTAATGCTCCTCGGAGCCTAACAGGGAGTGTGATCTGGCTCTAAGGGTGCTTATTAGAGCCAGCAGGGCTCTTTACTACATATACGTATGCACTAATTAAACCACCATGCTGGTCCCTGTTGACACATTTCTGCAGCAAGGATGCTCCAATGAAGCCTCAGATGATCCACAGTGATGTGGTTAATCTGCATAGAGGTTTATGGGCTGGACTGATTGGAACAACCAGAACAAACAGTTCCTCTGAGCTTATGAAAGTTGAAGATGATGATGATTAATTAGACGGTAAGGAAGACGATACATTGTTGAGGGGATCTGACCAACATTTGTTTAGAATTCTTTATCATGAAATTCAGAATTTTGAGAAACAAATTTGAATAATTTTTTCTAAGAACTTTGAGAATAACTTTTTTTCCCCCCAGAATTCTGACTTTAATTAATCTCCGAATGTTGACTTTTAATCTAAGAACACCTCTGCAAAGTGTTTGTGGCTCTCCATCTCTTTGGCCCTAGCATCGTAATACAGGTTGTGAATACGAGAACAAGTAAAAGATGTCTGCCCACACAATCTTGAATCTGACCCTGAAGAAGAAGAGTTTCCTGCTATATAACATTTCTGATGTAGCAAGACGCTTCTGATTGGTTAGTTAACACTTCTGTGTCACTCTGTATTCACGATGACTCGGTGTGTGTTGGTACAGTGCCTGTAAAGGTGATTTCAGAAAGGTTGCTACTTTCTCCATTTGCTACGTACGGTGCATGTTTTCATAGCATAATGTCACTTTTTCTGCCATATCCTGAATCGAGTTGCAGATGATTGGAATTCGATGGTGTTTTCTTTCCCCCCAAAATGGTGGGAGCAATGGTGGATGGCAACCCTAACAAAGTCAAGAAGTCTTACCTGTGCATTTCTTCAAGCTGCCGGGCCGTTTCCCGTGCATCCCCAGCTTACAGTTGAAGTTCTCCTCCCAGAATTCAGCAAACCAAACATTCCTCCTGTTGTTGGACAGCGAGCGGCTTCGGAAATACCGGTCGAACGCTGTAAAAAAAGAAGATGGACACGGTTAAAAAAAAAACAACATTTTCAATAACAAATAAATATTAAACAGATTTAAAAACGGCATCACTGAAGCAGAGCTGTGAGATCGTGTTTAACTGGATAATGTGAGGAAGTGTTCACGGCGGTGTAATGAATTTTGACTCACAAAGGCGTATGTTGTGAATCTTAAGTATGACTGAGAAGCCATATCCGCAGAGACGTGTAGCGTAAGAGCTCCTATCAAACACTGAAGCAAGCAGAGCAAACATTTTGGACTGAGTCTTCACACTCTACGCTGGCTACTTGTCCAATTTAATAAGCAGAGAGTAGCCGAGAAACAGGGGGAACATATTTCTCCTCTCACAGGAATGGAAATACCTGTCAGACGCTGGCAGGCTGAGATAAAGAGATGGGCGAAAGAAAGTGGGAATGAAGAAGACAGGAACTCTCCACATACGTGTTTTACTTAGTCCACACCGCTATTAATTGGGGGGAAAAAACACTGTGAGGAAAAATAGCTTTTAACTTCTTATACGGCTTTATAACCCCAGTGTTCCTTGGGAGCTCAGGTAGAGCCAATAGACTGCAGAGAAGCATTCACTAATAAAAAGAAAAGAGTCATTAGAGACACCGCTGGGGCCGTAGTTCAGGTGAAACAAAGCATGGAGAATGGCTAAATCAGTGGGGACTCTCAGAAGGACTTGGACAGCCTGGGAAAGGTGACCGGAATG